CTCCAACGCCCACGCATATTAAGCGGCCGCGCGCAGACACGTGCAAACAGCGCGCGCTTTCCAGCGTTACATTGTAAATGTTTCCCTTCCCCCGACGGCTCTGACGCGGAAACCTACTCGCGTCACGTTAGGGACAGGTTCACGGAGACGGCGCGATGGCACCGCGTGCCGTGCCGCTGTCGAGACGCCTCGGCGCGGGACGATAACGCGACGCGGCCGTGCAGCGGTGCGCGCGATGATGCCGATCGACGGGTTTCGTCGGTTTTTTCGGTCGCTGTTGCTTTAGGACTTCGGTGGTTGAGGTTAGGGAGGTGTAGCGTTGTTTACTTGAATGGTGTTCAAGTTGATTTTTTGATATTTCCTGATTTTTGTACATTTCAACCCTTTGCGGGTGAATGTCGGCAATCCGACGAGATGAAATTTTCTAGACGAAGACTAAGGTGTAAACGAATGATTTAATTACTCGAATAGCAAGTGATCGGCACGTAGTTTCCTATTTTTCTATTGTTCAAGCAGTTGAGGTATTTAGCTTCGTCTGTTGAAGGTTTATGGGGAAAGGGTTAATGGAATGTGTAATATTGGTTTTAGTTATTGAAGGGTTTACTCGTTGCTTCGCTTTCTGTTGGTTATAAAAACCTGATTTTTATATATTCTGAATATGTTGTGTAATCATTTCAGAAGCTAAAACATTGAGTTTTGCAGTTTCTATTTTCTCGAGTTGATTGCGTTGACTTTTGAACAACTCGTATGTGGAAGTTGAAGATTTGTGTGAAGATTCTGAAGGGATACTGGGGATTTGAAGAGTTTAGAGATTATAGCGAGGTTCCAAATGGGACACTATGAATGTGATGGTTTCTACAAAGTTTCAAAGGGATACTAGACATTGTAGTTTTAAAATTTCAACAAGGTTCCAAAGGAGAGAATGGAAGTTCGAGGAATTTACAGATTTCCAGAAAGTCCCAAAAGGAACACTAGTAATTTGAAAATAAAATCCCAAAATACTGGAGATCCCCAGATTCTGCGCCGAAAGTAGTTTGTACATACTTATACCAGTATTTCGGAAAAGTTCACTATTGTTACGAAGAAATGTAGGGTTACCAAAGGTTAAACGAGTCGATATAACACACTAGATGCCACGGGGGTCACCGGTGACCTCAACCAAGTCGATTTACTATAATTCACTCGATTAAACGATGATTACTTGAAAACTTTTCTATATTATAAGCAATACCATCTAACACAGTGACATTCAACAAGATGAACCTGCAATAATAATAACGTCACTCAATTACATAAGTTGATATTACATTATTTTCATTTTCTGTATTGTTCTCGGCAAAATCAGCACTCAACGCGTTAACTGTCTGCCTCGTAATGAGTTTCTCGAACGAAATAATATTCCCTCGGCGCAATTCGCCAAACCTTCGAATTGAATATATGAAAATTTGAAATTTTCCTGTCGATCTGATGCATTCTCCGAAGGCTATTAGCGATTCTATCGAGATTGAGATCGCTAACGACGCGAGTCACCGTTTCTCTTTTACTGCTCTTTACGCGTTCGGTTTCGATAAATCTCCCTGCGCGGCTAATTATCATGTATCACGGGTGCGTCGCCGGGTCTCAAAGAAAGCTAACATCCCGGAATTCACCGACGCTCGAAATACTTGCGAATCCGTAATAGGCCGGCGCGCGACGATTTCCAACGACGTCCATTATGCATTGTCCACCAGGCATCGCTCGCCATCACGGTGAATAATTTTCCTTTCCATGGTGTGCAACTGCAGTTCCATTGATTACCGATTCAGATGTCTCGTTCAATTATTTTTGCGCTGGACGTGTCACCTTGAAACTTTAATTCGATTTTATGGACCAATACATCGTCGTCTGGAAGTGTTGGACATTTCTCTGCATCTGTGTTTCGTGATTCCGCTGAAAATTTCATTCGGCGTGTTTCGCTCTGACAATTCCGACGATTTTGCGGGAAAAAATAGGTTGAAAATGTAGAATGAAAGCTTGACGCTTGAAACCACTTTGTCGAGAAAATTAAGCGTGGACATTTGTGAATATTTTTTGATACTTTTAAAGTAGACCATCGAGAATTTGGGTGAATTTATTTTGAAACGCTTTACGCGTCGTTAAGATTTCTTTTTTAAATTTCAATTTTAGTGAATAAATGTAAATTTCAATTCTTTCCTTTTTTCGTATGAAATTCACATTTTCTTTGTTTTCAATGCTCACTTGGGTTTCCATCTTTTTGAATGTGATACCGTTTCTGACAGCGAGGGACGAACCCTGCACGCAATTACGAATATACCTGGCATGCCCGCCTGAATACAAAAACAGTTGTCCTCATTCATTCAACGAAGTTGCTATGTGGTCTAACGTTGCTCGCAGCAAGGAATTCTACTACTTTCGAATACTGACGACTATCATCTAACAGCGGCACTATGAAAATTCCATAGCTTCATTAAATCCACAATTGAAAATGAACAGAAGATTGATCGAGGACGCATAATTTAATATCGGTAGTTAATGATCAATAGATAAAAATTCATAGTTTTAGGTCGGCGATGGAAATTAATAGTATATAATCGATAGTTGAACATCGGAAACCAATGACGGATAATTGAACATCGGCAATTGAATTAATATTAACGAATGAAGGGTTTGCAATACCTAATGATGTAATTATAGAATTCATATGAATTAATTGAAACCAAATACATTTAAAATGATCACTAAGTGCTTTGCAAATGATCCATTAGCTCTGATAATAGTTAAAATTTTATTTTTCCAAAATCTTATTTACTTTAGTATTTTTATATTATTATATTATTTTCATTTGGAAAGATGCAATTTATTTTCGTTTGTCGAATTAATGTTTAAACTTAAAAAATGTTTCCTTGCTGATTCTTTTTCAAAGGGTAAATGACTCTTTACGGTCTCCACTGGCAATTGTCAAGCCGCGTTCGTAACGGCGATTTAGTTCCCAGGAACCCAATAATTTCTCGTTACCATCGATTATGTGCTGGGTATGTATCGACATGTGTAGGACATTTGAGCCCGGTGACGTGACGGAACGAGGGACGGGTTCGCCGGACTTATTTTCGCATTCCGTCGATGTACTCCCACGAACAATTAGGCTTGTCGTCGGATTCCTCGCGCGCTTCCCGTCTGCCACGGCTCGATGTGCGAACGCGGGAACAATGAACGTTATTCCCGTGACTCTCAAATAATCGTTGCCAAGATACCGTTGCAGGGATACGTATATTGAGTCATCCCGGTTCTACGCTGATTTCTCTCTTATATACTTGCACCGTTTACGCCTACGCTTGGAACAGAATTTTACTCCTTTGGAGATCATTTTTGACGAATAGTAAATATAAATGTAATATAGTAATATAAATATAGTAATATAAATTTAGTGATGTGAATATAATGATATAAATATGGTACTGTAAATATAGTAATGTAAATTCAGTGATATGAATATAATAATATAAATATGGTACTATAAATATACTAATATAAATATGTAACTAATAATATAAATAACATAACCATAAGAAGTCATATTCTATTTCTTCTTGAATTCAAAATCTTTACATACATTCACCAGTAAAAATCTAAATTTGCAAACGCAAAGCTTCATGCATTGCTTTACAGAAACTAGCACCAAATAAAAATTCTTTTATTAAGTATATTATCGAGAACGAGATAAAATCTTCGTTACAGTACATTACATTTTTTACCATTCTGATCATTGCACCATATAGACTGCAGTAAATGCATCAAATCCACGATCCAACATTCATTCACAGATCCAAGGGACAAATAAATTATGTCGGAAACGTGAAACTGAAAATCTCAATTTTCATCGAACATTATGGTATAATACTGTAGCAAAAGTGAACTGCATATTTCAGTAATATTGTCTATGTAAGAGAAGCATAGAACGGATCGATACAATGCAGCGTTTGGCGTCGCGTATCGATCATCGTCCCACGAACAAGGGGTAGCATTAGGGGGTTCATTACGTTCGTATCCTTTGCTGTAACAATAGCTACTTGGCATTCGCGTTATACCGTCGGGTCTACATTGTTCTCCAAGGCGTGCGCAATCGTTTCACGGAACACCGTGTGCATACGTGGGATTCAATTGGAGGGTAATGCATCTTCCGCTGCATCCTGCGTCCTAGGCTCGATCCACGAACAAATAGGCCGTGTTGTAGTACGCTGAAAAAATGGAAACACCGAACTCCGCTCCAATTCATTTTTAAGAATTCCTTTATAACCTCAGACACTCTTCACACAATATTTTAGTAGTGTTCGACTTAGAAATTAGACATTAATTTTCACTTGAATTCGAAATTTATAAAATGGGGTTAATATTCATATGTGTGCTCCTGTAATATTTACTTTGTAATATTACCGTGTAATATTAATAATGATAATAATAATTGTTGAGAGTGAGCATGAAATATATTTTTAATGGCTACAAAGTTTTCAGAGGCTACAAATTTTTATTGCACGTGCTCAGCGTCTTTTCTTTTCTCTCCGCGTCGTTCGGCAGTTCGTAGTAAACGCTCAACCATCGAACAGCGTTCCGTTTCAGTTATTGTAAATTACCTTAATATATACTAATAAATATACACTTAGTTTTCCCAAACTGTGTTGTGTTTATTCTTGCAAATAAATATTCAACAATAATGTATATATACAATAAAATGAATATAACAAATATAAAAGAATATAACAATTACTGCTATTTTTGGATCATGTATGTAATGGAAATAATTGTTACATTTTTTTTAACTCCAATATGTATTCACATACTACGTACGACTAAGAGTTGTTTAAATAATTTACTTTCTTCTGTCATTTTAATTGTAACATTCACCAGTACATTCTTATTCAGACGATTTTGTGTCACTGCATAAGTTATGATTTTGATTTATTTCTAGACTGTCGGTTTCATACGATATTTTCCTTTTGTTACAGCAAATTCTGCAAAAGTCTTCGGTATCCGTGGAAATTGAAGTGAGACCAAGACAATTGGTACCGGATACTAATTGCTTCATCGACTACCTGCCGCAGTTGCAGAATATCACGAAGGCGATTTCCGGGGCGCAGCCGATCTACACGCTCATGGTGCCGCTCGTAGGTGAGTCGAAATTCTTGATACTGTCCCGAAAGTTTGAACATCTCAATTTCAATCCTTTCCCCGAAATTATTGGAATTTTGGATAGAGATAGTAGGGTCACAAATTTGATAAATTTAAATATTATTTCATTTTATTTTCAATTCGTAAAACTCATTCACGAAGTAAAATTTCATTTAACTTTACTCTCCTAAAAATTCTCCCATAAGAATGCGAATTTGCAAGAAGCTCCACGGTTTGAAAGAATAATGCGCAGCTTCTGGGCACGTTACGCCCTCTTTAAACTCAACTTATGTTTTACGGGCAGCGCAGATACTCCTTAGGAGCTTTATAAAACCAAATGAACTCGCTTATTGCACAGTTTAGAGGTATATTATCGTAACAATATCTCCCTCGCGAGAAATTTACTGTGTTAATAAGCTCACAGTTTTAAAACCACGAAACTTACTATTATATTCAAAATAATAGTCTTCATTTAATCGAAAGATAATCCTATAATATTCTAAATCGTCATTATTACACAGGTACATAATTGCAAAAATAAAAATGTCCCAAATAATCTAAAGAAAATATCCCGCACGAGCCAATTCCCTTCTTAAAAATTTCAATCAATCGTAACAACACCCTTAACTTTGCATAAAGCACGATATCAAGCTCATAGATTATCTCAAACACAATAATAAATGTCACTGGATTCTTTCGTTGTTAAATTAACCGTCTCTTTTTAATTATTCTTCTTCCAGTAAATTATCAATGACAATATACTTCTAACACCTTCGCGAAAGAAATCACAGGCCAAGTGGTTCAATTCTCCCGAACATTTCGTTGCTTTATATTTCATGCGCTCGTATTTGTCAGTGCACGAAATCCGCTGTCTAGTTATTGTCGATGTACGGGAGGAATCGGATACGTTGTTGGTTGGCGGGCGGCAGAAATATAAGGAAGAGATTAAATAATTGTGCACGGTCGCCAGAAAAGATGTTCGAACAACCGGTTGACCCCCGGTACCCGTCGGGCATTTCTTTCGACCGAAGGTCGTCGATTATCCCGCGCAGCGGAGAGGTGGGCAACGCTTCGTCCGAAATAATGCCTCGTTCCACTGGAAAAAAGTAAAACGTATGAAATAATCGGCGATAAATAACGACGGAGGAGGTCGTGGCTCTCTCGCGTATCTCAAGACCTCTGTACCAAAGGCCGAACAAAAATGAAGGAGGGGCGATGCGAATCGATCGAGCTGAATATCGTAAACCCGCCTCCGCGTGCTTCTACTCTTCCTTCTCATCCTCCTCCTCCTCCTACTCCTTTTCTTCTTCTTCTTCTTCTTCTTCTTCTTCTCTTTCGTTTCTTCCCATTGGAAGGATTCGCCGAATTCTCGGAACGGCCTGGGAAAAGACGATTTCAATTTATCAAATTATTTTTGATAGGTTGGAGTGAGACAGGACGTGTGAAATGGAAAATGGAGGAACCTAAGGAGGAATTTCAAACATTTTATTATTGAACCGGTGAAGTTTTTGAGAAAAGTAGATTTCTGTTTAAAATCTGTTTAATTATGTTATTATTATGTTATTGGAATGAAATGGAAGATGAAGGAACTTAAGAAGGAATTTCAAATATTTTATTATCGAATTGGTGAAGTTTTTGAGAATAGTAGATTTCTGTTTAGAATCTGTTTAATTATGTTATTATTGTGTTATTGGAATGAACGGTACGCTGTGAAATGGAAGATGAAGGAACTTAAGGAGGAATTTCAAATATTTTATTATCGAAGTGGGGAAATTTTTGAGAAAAGTTGATTTCTGTTTAGAATCTGTTTAATTAAGCTATTGAATAGGATTTTGGTTTGATTGGAGAATTTGTGTAGGAATTACTTGAACTGTTGCATTTGATATATCGATAGTTATGTAATGGTATTCGATTGAATTTAATGTTTCGAAATTAAGTTAAAGAAATTATAGTGAGAAGACGTATTCGTTTGTTGTCGATAGTTTGATTAAAGTAGTATAAATAAGACTTATACTGGAGCAGATATATTAAACTAAGAATATCGTGTTATTCTCACAAATTGAATATTATGTAAATACGTGATTTTCCCATTTTTCCATCAAACAAATACACTCGCGTTAAGGTAACATTTGCATTTGAATATCGTCGAAAATCTGCACTTTTATTATATACAGCTTAGGAATTAATTATTGAGATTCCGTAAAAATCATGGACGCACGCGTATCTGTATGGAATCGCAATTATTAGATTAAACTTCGACCGCATGCGGCATAATTATGCTCAATCCGTGACGCAAGAATAGAAAATCAGCTTCGCAAACATTTATCCCATATACCTGGCGTCAATTAACATTCACAGTTTTCTTGTCGCTAGACCTAATTGAATTCCTCGTTAATCCGTGGCTCATGTCTCGTTAACACCATTTATTCCATTCCTAATTAACGAACGAATAGAATTATCCATTCACCTCTAGCCTCGTTTCGAACCGTCCGCCACAAAGCGGTAATAAAAACACTGTCATCCGCCGCCATATTTTCCATCAGTTTATTGCGAGCCAGGCTTCGGGCAAGTTTTTACGCGGCGGCCGCCTTCGATCTTTCATTCCGTGGAAAGTTGTAAAAACTCTCTCTCGTCGCGTCGCTATCGCGCTGTAATTATCTTTTGAAAACCGCGCGCCGTTTCATGGAAACCGCGAGCGGCTGAAGGATGTCGTCGCATTGTATCGATCGTCCACGAAAAATTCAACGGGTTTACACGACGGTTTCTTCCAATGTTGAGTATCATTCGATTTAAACTTTATTCCATTGACAATAAAAAATAAATAATTCGTTATTCAGTTATTTGTTATTCAAGTTACTCCTGTAGAGAACCTTTATTCGTTACTTCTTGCACACTGTGATCTCAATATTATAATATTATTAATAATACTAATTACTATTAATGATTAATATCAATAATTGTATTATCAGTACTTATTTAATCCAAGGACAGTTTACGAAAGCTGTTTTCCTTCAGAACTTAGGAAATAATATACTATTACTTTGAGTCACTTATTTGCAGATTCAATTAATAGCAAATCATTTACATTTACATTACCTATGCATCATTGTGCAAAGGTTATTCGAATTAGCGAACAGAAAATGGCGAGTAAATTCAATTTATTTATTGCCTGAGAATGACGGGTATATAAATTATTCGTTGCTCGCGAGTAACAATCAGATTGAACTTATTCGCCACTCTTTATTCGTTATTCCGTGTAACTTTCGACTAACGCTGGCTCCTTTCTTGATCCTTCTGCCGCTCGACGTCAAAAGTATTGCCGCGGGGTGATCGTGTCATCGGGAGACTATCATCAACGGGTCACGGCGCGGGTCAAAACGATGCGTAAACATCCGACTCACCTTGCCGATGACGATCATCGTCCTCGTCATCGACGGGTTCGTTCTGTTACACGATCTCCCTTTCGCTTCTTCGGTCAATCAACGTCGCGATAATCTGCGATCGATGGATTGCGACTCGCGGTGACGTTCACGAAAATTGCCTAACCACTTCCATTTCTCGTTTTCGTGTTCAACGTGCGCTCGAAAGTGTGATTTTTGTTTTTTGGTTCAAGGAATACATGGCTCTAAATCGAAATAGTGTTTGCGAGTATGTCAGAGTTGCTTAGTGGATTTTATTCCGGAGTAATGATTCAATTCGAGTGCCATTCGATTGTCCTCGTCAGTGGATTAGACGATTCAATTTACAATAAATATTACGAATATACAATGAACTCGGTAATACCACAATCTAGTTGACAATAGTAATACTTAAATAAATTACTCTTCTGATCACTACTTGTGAAATTTAGTTAACACCATCGAGCAATCAAAGTGACTTATTTGTAATTTTTTGTAAAAATCAGAACAAATTTCTTGAAATCCAAAGGGTCTCCTACTTTCGTATCTCTGTAAATATACAGATTTAATCGAGAACCTTTAACAAAAACGCCTTTATAATTTAAACACTTGTAAAATAAAAATTTCGGTGGCTCAATTTGACTCACCCTGTAGTTTCAGTGTTAAAATATTAGCCAAACGCTGCTGGATTGTCTAAAATATCACTGGCAATCATTACTTCCTCATTTATTTTCACTGTTAACCCTTTGCACTCGAGAGGTGACTTTCAGTCACCACTTGATTTGATTTGCAAAATTATCAATTCTTATATATAATATTAAGCTTTGCATAATGCATCGATATGTGCAATATTGAAATAAAATAACTTTCCTTCTCAATTTATACATGTTTCTTCATTAATTAATTTCAAAGAATATCGTCCGTATCTCATCGGAAAACATTGAATATTTCCAGTGAAAAACTTTCGAGTGCAAAGCGTTAAACCATACAATCCTACAAATTGAAGCGACCGATCAGCCTTACACAAAAATGTCACGAACAACGTACAATTACTCCAACACTCTCATTCAATTCATCAGTATCGAACCGATTTTCCGGGTAAAGACCTCGCGGTGTGTTTACGATTGCATAATCGTTACGAGGAGAGTATCTCGTTGAACGAGTGCCACGGACTGAGCCAAAAATAATTTACCCGGTGGTTCGAGAGCCAAGAGTTTCGCTTTTTACCTGCAAAAGCGACAGTCCGTTAGCTCGGGCATCGACTCGATACGGTAATTACCGGTACGCGCGGGTATACCTTGGCATAGCAATTACCCAATTACGAAACGGCGTGTACCTGTCGAATCGGCGTGGCCGGGGGCGATCGTAAACGCGTCCCCGATGGATGGGAACGACTCGGTGTCGTCGAGCGGAGTCGACGAGTCGTCGAAAGGATCCTTGAGAGAGCGATGACGCCGTGACGCGTCACGTCCACGCTCGAAATCGTCGAAAAATGAGGACGACATTCGATCCTACGCCGAGTCTATCGTGACACGACGCTGTTCCGCCCTCCTATGTTTTTCCCTCCCTTTTGCCTTCTTTTTATTTATTGATTTTCCGTGG